CGCGAGCAGAAAGTAGTCAGAAAAAATGGTCGCGACGCGAATTTATACGCGGAGTGCTTCGAAAGTGGCGCGACGACGAGGATTTTGAGGGAATTTAGTGTCAGCAAAAATTTGATCTAGCTTTGATATCACGATAAATTTGCGAGCTTTATTGTTCAAGCTTCACTTGCGCGTTCTGCCATCGAAAGTCTCACAAATCTCTCTGTATAACTCTTTAGCTTTAGATCTCTATACTATATTTAAAAAAGACTATACTGTTGTTAAAAAAGACGTACATAGATTGATGCAAAGCTTAGACAAATCTTACTATAGATGTGCGGAAAGGCAAACTCTTAAAATTTAAGGAAGATATTTTATGCTAGTATTGTCTGCTATTAAGCGGTTGATTCATTTTCCGTGCGACCCAGATTAATTCGAAACGAGACGATTTCTCTATCGGCATTCGCTATTGTCATCCGATAACAATGTGCACGGTATATGCAATCGGGGAGAACGATCATTAAAATGATGACGCTGGACACGAGAGCGACGGGACAGGTCCGTAAATATCTGAAATGAAATCTGGACGCGCGCGCGAGTAAATAAAGATAATAACGTGTCGATAAAGCTTATACCGCACGGAAGGGAACCGTCATAAGACTTTCGCCTATAAATTCCGTCACTATTACTTGTATAGAGTACTTGCCATCCGCACGCCACGGCAATAAAACGCGATATAACGCGCCCTCGAAGCAACCGGTAAGCATGTAGTCGATACTTGGGCTGCTACAGATTGTTTCAGAAATTGCGAGGAGCCGCGACGACTCGCTGTATGAATTACGAACCGTGAAACAATATGGTATTTGAGAAATAACGCGTGTAAAGACTACTTCAAATACACTTATTTTAATTAAGACTGCACCGCGAACGTTTCTCGAGTAAGAACAGAACCACGACTATATTTACGATGAATAATCATAATAAACGATAAATGAGTTTAGTCGATTTTAACTGGCACGTGTTTAATAAAATAAAATAAAATACAGCGTGGTACGTTTCGACCAATGGTTTACGTCCTTCTCGGGGACATTCTTAAAAATAATCAGGCCGGCGTAATATGAAGTCAAGTAATAAAAATCCAAAGGAGGTGAGTCATAATTATAAAAATTATAACATGCACAAAGTTAAAATGTGTACGCTGTCCACAAAGGCCGGAGAATCATAATAAATCTGGCGATAGGTTGGCGAAATACTGGCGAGGTTCCAGATTCACGTGAAAATAACGGACAAATCCCGGAGTACTCGTCGTACCTTCGGCATCAATATTATTTTTAACGGATCCCTGTTGAGAGACCCGCTACTTTGTCACGGCCTATAGAAGCGGAACGGCGGTGTACTTTTCTATCGACGCCGCCACGGCGCCGATGATTTACATAGCAATAAAGTAACGCCTTGGCGGCGGCGGCAGCCCGAAAAACGCGTTTGATTTATCCGCGCACTTTCGCGAAGTACTGGACTTCTGCCAAGCCGGAAGGTCCATCTCGCCGGAAATCACGACGATAATTCAACGCGAGAAAGAGAGCGATGCGGGCGCGCACCGTGAAAATTTTCGGAAGAGACGGAGTTCGCACAAGAGACACGTGTTCACCCTTCGCGACACAGTCGCCCTAGTTCTGGTCCACTAAACGTTATTCGGAGGAATCTCGACGAGATAGCATTTACATTTTTTTTACTCGATTGCCGCAACTGCCGAGATAATTAATTTTATTTCTTACGTAATTATATTTCGGTAATGAATAACGAAACTAAATCGGTGTTGACGCGAGAATAACTTGATTAACGACCGAACGTCTTCGTATTTACTTGCGGCAATTAAAGACGAGTCGCAGTTAATCGTCGAAATTAACGCGAACGGGACGGATCTTCCGTCACGCTCTCGCTGTCTGTCCCCAAAAGGAGGTCGCAGACGCACTGCTGATGGCGTTCAGGAGTCAGTCGGGTCTGATTACACGTCGACGGCAGGGCAATACCTTAACCCTTCCCTGTCGGGGGCCACCCTTCCGACAGGCTGCTGAGGGACGAAGCGAGGCGTTTGCAATTTAACGGAATCTCTGCATATAGAGTGGGTTCATCGCGGCGCGCGGGTCCCGCACTTTAAATGACGTCCCGGAAGTCCCCGCGCTAATTCTACGGATCCTCGGACATGTATACCGCCGTCGTGCCCCTCGACCCTTCGCCGAGTCCCGCGTCCTACGTAGGGCCAGAGCTGCGTTATGCGAACTCCGGTCGGCGCGCTCGTAATAATTGCAGGCCTCGACGCGAGGGAGAGAGAGATAAGAGCGTTTTACTAAATGGCCGTGGAATATTTGCGGCGACACGCGAAAGGCTCTGACATCTCACGGGCTTGATTTATCGATGTTTGTACCCGCGGCCGTAATATCGCGGAATAAATAATTTCGTAATCGGATTATACACACACACACACATACACACCGCTGAGCGGGCGAATGCATATCTGCAGCGATACACGATACCGATTATATAATTCACTGATATTTATTTCAGCCCCGGTTAGGTCACCGTACAAATGATACGATATAATTAAACCATTTTGAGTAGGTGAATAATGACGTGATAAAAGATATATGAGTATTTATTTTACAATATCACATTACAAATAGATCGTTTAACACAGATGTTTGAAATGTTTTGTTATACACGCGAGTATAAAATTTATAATTTGTAATTCGCTCACCGATGAATTGTCGAGCTCGCTCGCATCGTTTTACTTTTCCTCGCTTGCTCGATTTTAACTCTCAAAGCACAAACGAATTTTAATTCGTATATTTGCCACAAATAGCGCCAGCTACAATTTAATTGATCACGGACGGATAAGACGGTCGTTCGTTTCATCGACAGGTGGGTTTTACGAGCTATTCGAGCCGCTGCAAAATAAACGTGTACAAGTGGCGTTTGCTTAGTGCGACAGTTAACATTAATAAAACACCGCTGCGTCTTGCGGATGATTTATCACCGTGGCTTATTTTTCTCAAACCGCGGTCTCTCGCGATTCAAAAGTTATCGAATATCGATTATACTCTTTGCGCAGGTTGGCCGTAAATCCTTGGAGAATGTTAGAGTAAAACGCAGCGACAATAATAAAGTCGGCGCGACGTTGCACGAGAGAGGAATTTTAATCGGTCGCGCGATAACCTGCAATCGATAGTTGCCGTGTATCGCGATCTCTCATTCGGAACCCTTCATTAATTCCAGCTCGCCGCTGCTACATATTTAAAATGTCTTATCGTTGAATCAATATCGAGACGCGTTTCGTATACTTTCTTATCATCCCTAATGTCGGCGCAGCAGAACAAAGCAACCAAACATCCGTACTTGGGTTCTATACGTAGAGAGAAAGAGAGAGATCTCGCATACCGATCTAGCAAGTTGTAACATTTTCCTTCGGCAAAAGAATGACTGTGCGTCACGAAAGGCTTTACGCCCTTCCGCCACGCAGCTTCATAATTATTCGGAACGTGATATATTTTAGAGGCAGGATACAATCCATTTTGCGATTTTCTTTTCTTTTCATCATCAATCACGCCGAGTTCTCGAACAGAAAAAAGTGTGTAACTACAATAAGTGCATTATACGAAACAATTTTTCGCATCCAATATTTTTGTCCAATATTGTTTTCTAAATTTATAGTTGTTTATTGGAGCCTTATTTGTATTATAATATTAATTGTATATTTAAAATTTGCGCCAAGTTGAAACGTAGCTATTTTTCGGTCCCCTTACGCGACGGTACGGATTTAAAAATAAGTGTTCCGGCAGTTGCTGCGTGCAGGACGAGAGCCGTTCGCGGCAAACAATGGCTGCGCATTGTCGACGCGGTATCGGCGGTGGCCGAGGGTTCGGGAAGGGTGAATTGCGGCTACGTGCCCCCGCATACGAATGTGCCCGCGCGTACGAGGAGGAATCGAGGACGGAGGGAGGTACCCGCGCCGCATCGGCGTCGTCTCGAATCTAATAGATCGCGCCCAATACTTATGGTCAAATCGCGAACCCCCGTAGACCAGGCGGGGTCCGCTGATTACCATTCCGCCCCGACGCCCCAATAACCGTCGCTGATAATCAGAAATGCCTTACGAAGGATGTAAATCAATTCAGGTATGACTGCAGCGGCGTCTCCGAGCTTCTCGCCAAGATTGCGGTGGAGCCGAGAAGGTCTCTCTACTTGCTGGACGAGTTCCAATTCTAACGAATAAATATCGTAATCGTTCGTTAATCAAAGTTCTTGAGACATTAACGTAATTCTTGATTATTTTCTGAAAGATCGATATTGACTTGGAACATAAGTAAAGGTGCTATCGGTTGGACATTTTTATATTTGAGAGTGGTTAACTTGAAATAAAAATTGTAGACGTCTTGTAATTTCAGTGACGTTAAATTATTGTTAGACGAAATGCGAAAATTAAATTAGATTAAAATAAAAATGCGTCGCCCGTCGAGTTATTTTTTGCGACCATTTCAAGGTCGCCTGGGAGCATCGATATCTTTCTTGACGAGCCGCAAGCAGACAAGAATCGACCGGACCGACAAGGTTTCTCGCTTTGGAGATCCGACTCTCCGACGTGCATCGACGCGTAATCTCCAAGTATACGGAGGAGAGTGTGATCTCTCTCCTTGAAGTTTAAGCCCCTGTTAAGGCAGCTTAAAACTCAGGTAACGGGAATTACGTCGGGGATATTCCGCCGAAAGTTACGGACGGACTTCGGAATTGCGTCGCTCGACGAGAAGTTAATTGGAAATCGGTGTAACGGCGCCTTCGATCGCTATGCGAGTTACGTACAGAGCCGTGATATTTTTCTCACGTACAAGCGATTCTAATTTCCACGTGTACCAGTCGATTAATCCTTTTACTATTTACGCAAACGATAGGTGAAACACTTGTCTGCATAGCGCGTGAAATTCCGACACCTTATTTCATTCTAACATTTTTATTCTTTGCTGTTGCAGGAGAGTCTGGAGGAGAGAGTGCAAGAGCTGGAGCAAGCGTTGCTGGCGGAACGTATCGCGGCTCAACGAGATCGAGCGACGATCACAAAGTTGCAGCGGCAGATCAACAAGGTAAGATATTTATACAACAAATTCGTCTCGGCAAAAGCGAAAAGTCAGCGACGATAAGAGCTCGACTACTGACCCATCATACTCGTCAGAAAATTCTAGTTTCGAAAGATATAAATGATTTCTAATACATTTTGATGAAATGGCATAAGTTATAAATATAAAACCTTGGCAAAGTTGATAATACAATCGCAGGAACATCGAATAGGCATTTCGATATCAGCGTAGAAAATTGATCAATTTCATTAATGATGGCGATTATCTGATTATTTTTAATTAAATATTGCAGCGATCTAGACAGATCGGAATTGAAAGTTTTAATATATTTTCGCTTCGCGCGAAGGACTCGTCACATTTTTGCGATTGAAATTTTTATCCCATTCCGTATATACACCTGGCTTCTCCGCATCGAAGAGGAGATTAGAATGGTGGTAAAATATATTACTATCGCCCCCGGAACCGAGTAGCTAACTCGATCGAACTATGGGCGCTAGCTCTATTCGGTCGGTCGAGGCGTGTGAAAACTATGGTCTCCGTCTTGTATGGAGTCGCTGATCCGTTAACTTGGTCCGTTCTTACCGGAACGAAACTGCAATCGCGAGGACGGTCTAAGTGGTGGTGGTTGATGATGGCGGTGGTTTCGGTCCGGACCAGACCTGCAGATCCGCACGGCTGGCTGCCGCTGCTCTGCGGTGGCATTCGGCGCCGCTCGCCGTATCAGATAACGACGACCCTCGTAAACCAGACCCCCGTAGACTGCAGCAACTCCTTGGTCCACGGGACGGAGAGGGCAAGAGCGTCTCCTTGCCCCTCACGTAATCACGTTTCTCTACCGTCGTACAGTTTATTCGCGTTATGTCACTTACAGCGAGGCGCCTAGTGCCACCGACCGATTTATCCTCGATAATCTCGCGATACCCGTTGGATCGTTCGACGCGTTGTTACCGATCGGTACTACTGATAGCGCGAAATTATTACTTGGAACGCTCCGACTTAATTATCCGCAGCATTTTAGAGATAATCATCGACTCCTTTAAGTTACATATCATATATTATTACGTAATACGCTATATTAATTTAGATATTTTTATAGAGAAACGTTGAATGATGCCCAAGTACTTACACGCATACAACTTTATAGATATCCGTTTCTCGAAGATATTTATTTAGTCTACATATTTATCAAGTATACAAATTGCAACATTAAATAGTGAAATTGAAATTATTCCAAAACCCAACTCCGACGTAAAACTCTTCTCTCGGGGCAGGAAACAATTTCTTGGTTAAAAGATTATGCTGTAATAAAGTTTACATATTCGCAGCAACGTCAAACGCGAGAAGACCTGCGCATTCGTATGACATTTTTGCATTACGCGATATTTCATTATTGCACGTAACCGAGTGCATACTTATACCACACTTCATTTCCCGCCGCGCAATTTCCGGCATAAAGCATTCGCGATTACCTCGACGTTTCCATCGAGATGAAAAGAGATCGTCCGCGTGTGCGGCGTAATATTCCGAACTTGTCCGTGCCGCATTTTAATCCACTTGCCATTGCCGAGTCGGCAACGGAGACCGAGGACGTTTCTCGCTAAGACGGACCTTCCGGAATAGGATGACGCGAACATAGCGTGCTCCTGACGTGCCCTTTTCCGCCCCTTTTGCAAGTCTATAAAATATCACGACAAAAACAAGAACGGAGGGTGGAGCGAACCCTTCGCTCGCGACTCGTCCGTGTAATCTCACGTGATTTACGCGTTTTCCGCGAACAGATTCTCGCGAGCGGCCCGAATTATTTATCGCGCGTCACGCGATAAATCGAAGTTGAAGGACCATTCCCTTCGATTTTCTTGGAATTATCCCCGCCGTCGTTGCGAGATCACGGGCTCTTTTCGCAGCTGCGTGCAATCCAGAAGGACGCTCGTGGCGCTTCGCCGTCCCTTGTATCCCTTTGTTTCGCTCTGCAGATTGCGGGGGTACGGGTTGGACGATAGACTGATTGATCTTTCATATGGGATTGCATGTAATTTAATAATAAACGTATACGCCGCTTTTCGACCGGCGCAAATCACGTGCAGTTTCTAAAGGTTTTTAATTACAATACAAGCATCGTGAAATATGAAAATTCTGCTGCAAACCTCACTTAAATTACATGATTGTAACATTAGTTTAATGTAATATGCAACAACGGAGGGGAAACTTGTTACGTCGCGCTGATTGCGGGTGACGAAATTTTTTGTCATAATTAATTAATTAACATTTTTAATTACTTGATTGCTGAATTTAATTATCATTTATAATTACGGCAATATTTTTCGTCGTAAATAATTAAGCAATTAACACGAACTTGTGAAATATTTGCAGTTACTTCCTTATTAGACGAGAAACGTGCACGATTTCGTGCGGCGCGATTAGAATTGTGGGAACCGCGTAAGATGGAGAAGGTGGGCGGATAAAATTAATTACGTCGCGCGGAAGAGAGAATGGACACATCTTTTTTTTCCTCCGTTTCCTTTTTCTCCCCGCGACACAACGACTAATTATTCACCGGGAAAATGTATAAGTAATCTGGGCTGGACGTTTCCACAAATCCAGTTGATACTTTTCCAGTCACGAACGTCGGCGCCGCGCGGTGTGTAAGCCGCGATAAATTGCAGCCGCCGCGGCGGGTTAAATCTACGTAATTTCTGCCGAAATGAAACGCGGCGATCCGGGAATTAGAGAAACCAGCTTGCTGATCGTGCAAGATCGAATGCACTCGAGTCGGGGACCGGTCGAGCGACTCGTTCGCTTATCGCACGACCGTCGTCTCCTCGTTGACTTCATTTATCCTGGCATTTTTCCAAGCGTGTAATTTAGATGGAGCTTTGGATAGCTGCCGATCTCATTAATCCCGCGGGTTGCGCTACGTGCGTCGGTTAGATCATATTTACCGAAGATATAATTATTTCACGTCGTTATTAATAAGAGCTCAGTAAGATTATACGTAGGGAATAATTAGAATTTACATATAACGAGTGAGAGAGGGAGAAAGAGATTATTGTGTTCCGACAAATAGATCGTATCGAGAGTTCAATGATGATTGAGTAAAACGAGTTATAATTTTCTGGCAAATGTGCGGACGGTAGCGTTAATTATTAAGATACACACCTACAGAAAAAATTTCCGGATCCAATGCTATTACACTTGAATGTATCATAAAATAGGATCGATATAGGGCCAATCATATTTATTATAGAGAAAGGAATATTTTTATCTTAAATGAAAAATTGTAAAATCTAGAATAAAATGATATCGTCTTTTGTCGAATATCGTGGTGTCAACTTCGTGCGTTGTAAGATGGAGGGACAATTTATTCTAAACGCAAGAATATATAAGGTTACTCTAATCTCAATATAGTAAGTCAATCTTTTTTAATTCAATAGAGGAGAATAAGAATTATTGATTTAATTTTGATACTGTCTTATTTTTATACTGAATTAGGTTGTGAGAAATAGAAATGCGTCAAGAATATTTTTTGTCTCGGTTACAGAAATCCTTTCCGAGGGTGCACGGCTATAAAAAAATCGCACTACAATCACTTGACAAAAATAGAAATTTTTTAGACCTGTCGCCGTACATTTATGCGAGACAGATATATCTGTTGCCTGCGAGAATTGTGGAACACTTTATCTCGGTAGACAATCTCGATGATAAAGTAACAGTATAATTTATTAAGGGACCTTATTCGATATACGTCTGGGGAATTATTGAATCATTTGCCATTTTGCCGCGAACAAGATATTGTATTTACAAAACTCCCGGGAGGAGAATCTAATACAGTCCGGAAAATGTGTCCGCGAGAGACGGGAGGGCGCCGGAGGAGGCGGATTGGCGGATGGGCGACGGGGGATAAAGAGGTTCTTCGGGGTTCGACGGTGACGCGCGGCCCCCCCTCGGGTAAATTACATTCCCGGCAAGCCGTATCGGATTATCCTCACGTCGAGGCGAGGATTCGTCTAGACCGTAGGAACTTGGCCATATCGCTGTTCTCGCGCGCGAGGATAGGAAAGTTTAAAATCTCTCTGCGCGCGCGGTGGTGTACCTCGCCATCGGATGATACCAAGAGTGAATTATTCCATGTAGAGGCAATCTCGCGCCCATTCTTGGGAGGAGCCGATAGAATTTCATCACGCGTCGCGACGCAGGACAGACAGCCCCGCGCTCGCGGACTTGGCCGGGAGGGCGTTATCGATCAGCGACGAACAATGACCGTACGCGAAGTCGGTCTCGAGAAAATCCGCATTCAAATGTCTGTGCCCCTTCCATTTCTATTTTAGAAACTCTTCCCAGGGTGGTCCTTGACGTTTTAGTCCGTTCACTCTCGTAATTGACTCGATGCGTCTTCTCCTAAAGCGTCATTTTTCATATTTGTTGTACAAATTTTCCAAGAATCATTGTTCTCAAATTTTACAACCTGAGATTCGTACAATTCTCTTCATATTGTTACAACTACGTGATTTCATGTTACTGCGTCTCATGAATTATTACGTAGAACTTACATCCATTCGTTACAACGCGATCTCACTATTTTCGACGGAGTGTGCAAATTTTTCGCTGACTCTCCCGGGCGACGTTTGCTGACGACGTCATCGCCACGGTTCGCTGAAGGGCGATGATTCGCGCGTTCTGCCGCGATAAAAAGCAGGAATTAGTCCTCCCTCTGAAAGGCCGTCGTCGTTAAGGCCGCACTTATTGCGACTTAATAAGCGTCGTTCTCCGTCCGAAACCGGACGGAATTACTTCTGCGGCGCGACCGTTTTTCATTATTCAAGAGCGAGATAAAACTCCGGTCCCGAACAACGGGCAAGGAACCTTCCTAAGGTAGATTATGGCGCGTATAGAGGCGATTTAAACGACGACGACGTTGGTATGAGGAAACGCACGGGCAAATTCCGCGAGCGGAAAACACAAGACACGGTGTTCGCTCCGTATTGCGTCGACATTACCTTTATAAACCG